AAAACATCCTTCTAGTGTTAAACTCTGCACACACACCATTCTGCACAGTGAAGCTCAAACATTTACTACAACTGTAGGAACAAAACCAAAAACATATTTTTGAGTGGAGGGGGACTTCAAAGGATGAGGATGACATTACCCTATATATTTTTTTACTGTCAACAAATCCCTTAAAAGAAGTAAAAACTATATAAAATATCACCAGACTCATCCTTTAAGGCGTGGGACAAGTGGAGATAATAACTGCAGCTATTATAGGCGCTGTATTATTGTGTCTCTTAGTCAACACTTCACCACACTGAGTGAGAGTTTCATTTTAACTGAACATGTGACTTTTCACCACAAAACCACAAAATAGGTAGTATATGAAACAGTCTTGCTTGTATTTTAATTTTGTCAGCAAATATTACCAAAGCACACATTTATGTTTAATTTTATGTTTTACTCATGCTAAAAATTACTGTAATTAGTTAATGTATTAAATATTTTCTTCTTAAGTCTGAATTGGACTTCCTGTTTAAATACAGGTTGAAATCAAATCACTGACGGCTACAGTAACTATCCTCCTGCTCCAGTCCTCCTATACTTGATTGTGTGTGCACGTGGATTGCTTTTAAACAGCAACACAAATGAATGTTTTATGTATTTTGTTCTGTTTTGTTCAGCTCCATAGTCTGCCAGGTAATTACAGTGACCTGGTGGTAACAGGCGATGATGAGGGAATATTCGGAGTCGACGCTCAGTTTCTGTATGCTCTGAAACCGCTGGACAGAGAGAAACAGCCGTCTTACTCTCTGCAGGTAGCATATCACATCATGATAGCAATTTCCCATACATGTCTTAGCTGATGAATAGTTGTCACAAATTCCTTTATTCTGTTATGCATCATATTTGCATTAGGTTTGAACATTCTTACTTGTTCCTCAAATGAGGTTTACGTGCTTTAGTCCAGAAATGTATGAACTAACTTACAGAGTGTGTTTGTGTGTGTACTGCAGGTGTCCTTCAGAACATCAGTGCACCATCAAAGCTTCACCGTCGAAGTGTGTGTCATCGACAAGAATGACAATGTGCCCACTTTCATAGAGGAGAGCATGAGAGGCAGCGTGCAGCTCGGGCTTCTCAAAGGTACGAGAACCTTGAGCACTGATGTCATCGTGATGCACAACCTCTTTCAGTCTGGATCACATATGCCAGTCCTGTTACAATGAATACAAAAACTCATTCAATTTTGTGTAAGCAGTGGAAAACATGCCTAATGTTTCCCTGGAAACTGCAATTTACCTTTAACCTTAGTATTAATAGAATAAATGACGTGGCAAACTGGGTCAGTTAGATTTTGATAATACTAAAAAAAGACGTTTTTGCAAACTATCACAAGGCTTAGCAATTACATTGAGTCTGGTACAATTTTCTAAATGCATTTTATTTTAATTGATTCATTTTCCCTTTACTTAGAAAAACATAAAAACAAAATAAATGAAATATCATCTGACTTGAAGATGAGTTCTTAACAGTGAACTACTATACTACTAGCTTGTTGAACATTAACAACCTCATCATGTTTTTATGTGCTACTTAATTAAAAAAAAGTGATTGATTGCTCACCAGTCATTTCCTTAATCCAGTTCTCAAACTTTTTAATAATGGCTGACGATGTTATTGCACTGTATGTTTTTTTTTATATGCAAATCAGATCAGTTTTTAGCTGTATGATTTTTTAACATGGGTACAAAAACACATACTTTAATTGCTTATGTGTCTTTGGTATAGTGCCTCTTGATTTGTACAAGCCATGTTCTATCCTTTTTTGTCTACATTTAGAAAGTTAATGTGCTTTGAGTGGTGGGGAGAGACGTCTGTGATACAGAATGTAACATTTTTGACACTGCACCATGTGTGTCTCCAGGGATCCCATTCATGCAGGTGGAGGCGCTGGATCGTGATGACCGCAACACTGCCCACGCTGAGCTGCGGTTCAGACTGATGGAACAGACACCCAGGATTCCCTCCAGCCAAATGTTCTTCATCGACTCCATCAGTGGAGAGGTTTCCCTCACTGATGAAGGTCAGTCCCAACTAGTGACTGTAGGGAAAGTATTTGTTTTTGTATTTATGATTTTTTGAGCTAACAATGCAGGGTCAGCTACTGGACCGCACTCTTAAGAACAAACTTTTTTTAGTTTAAGCTTAACTCTTTATTACTATTCTTTACATACACTCAAGAATACTTTCTCATTTCTTTGCTGCATGTTTTTTGAATGTTTGAACAAGCCATTAAGGGATTCTACAAAGTTTAGTTTGTTGATATGTTTAAAATCAGGTAAGTATATTTACAGGTATCTGCTTTAAAAAAATCAGTATTGGTTGGTCTAATAAATCTAGTGTAATCATTTGGAAACAAGCTCTGGCTCAAATTGAGTTTTTGAATGTGTGTTTTGAAGAGAAGCAGTGACTTGTGGTCCCAAAGAAAAGCTACACAGAGATGTGAACCCCCACTTTAATGGTCTAATACTTATTAGTTATGTTTTTTGCAGTTGTTAAAATAGGATCAAAAAAGGAAAAAAGTTGAATTTATGAAAATGACAAACATGCATCAATATATCCTGTAAAACCCAAACATAAGATATAGAAAAACTAGCATTTGTCTTGTGAGGGTAGAGTTACTTGACATTAACACTTACCGAATGTATATGGAATTAAATACAAATAATTAAGATACAATACAAAATGGATGCAAATAGGTTGGCTAATAATACTTCTTTTAGGCAGACACACACACATATAGTACACATACATACACACACATACAGATGTAGTCCTGCATGCTGGTGCTATTTCTGTAGCTCTGGTATTGCCCTTTGTTACGGCTCAGCAGCAGCTAGATGACTTTCACGGTTGCCGGTCCCTTCCGGCTCACACTGCTGCTCCTGGTTTCCACAAAGCTTCGTAGGAGCAGTGAAAATTGACAATTACCTCCTTGATTTTCTACTTTATTTTCAGACTAACCGTAACTGATGGTTATGATTACCTTTCTAGTGGGGTGTTTATGTCATTTCTTTTCCATTTTAGCAAGAAATTGAAAAATTAAGTGATAAATACAGCACTGAGATGGCTTAGAAAAGCATGGACATGTTAAATTTAACAGGCAGTGTGTTTAATGTCTCAGTTATCATAGGGAAAATATAGTCCATTAGTCCATTATGTGTTTCTAGATCACATAATTATACGGTGTTTGTACATACTTTTTCCTTTTTTGTGTTTCTTTAGAATGTGTTATTTTTAAAACTGAAAGAATCCTTTTGAAAAGCTGTTCATCTGTCCCACTGTGAACACCAGGAGCCTCCACTCTGGACCCAGAGATGTGCGGCCGTTATAAGCTCTCTGTGATGGTGAAGGACATGGCTGGGAAGGCAAACGCTTTCTTCACCACTGGCATTGTTACTGTTGAGGTGACCGGAAACACCTGGGCATCGCCCGACCCTGTGCGACTTCAGGAGAACCTCCCAGGCCCGTATCCTATCCCCATCTCACAGGTGAGGCAGCAAAACCTTGATCAGCACGTATTCATTCTGAAACACTTAAACATCACTTTAGCATGTAAAGTGTTTAAGTCTAGATTAAAAGCACCTATTAGATTATTTTTTTACCATAAATCATGCAAACAACTTGGGGTAAGTGCTGACTTTATTGTTAACGCAGTTCCAACTCTCAACGGCCAACTATCATATTACAATAAAAAACTAACTCTGTCAATAGCCCGGGCTGAGTAAAGTGGCATCATATTGCCAGTTGCTGTTTTAGTGTCTCTTGGGTTCTCCTAAGTGACCAAATACTGAATTATTGATGCTGTTCAAATGCCATGGATCCTTTCAGGCTACCTCCTGACTGAGTCACTTTAACTCCCATAATCACTCACTCTCCCACCCACTAACCACCACCAACCACCACCAATCACCACTCTGAGGGGTATTATACAAACTGAACAGCTTGAAGGCAAAAGCCACCCAAAAATAGACTCCATATATGTTATTTTAATCATATTGATCATATTGTACAGCTCAATATAAAATGTTAGCATTTCATGTCAAACAGAGAAAAATCCTGGAACAACTCAGTAGGTCACAATTTGGAGAAGTATTAAGTTAAGATAACATTTTTTGGATGTAAGATAAGTTCTATAAATGAAGTTGAAGTGTATTTGCTGATGGTTTGGGTTCCTAGATGATTCAACAATATTTCCCAATTTTTTTCCAATTTCCGTCCTCCAAGGGTACCCCTAAGTCCATAGACAACACCTGTCGAATGTGCAGGGGCTTGTAGGTGGCAATTAACAGTAGTGTGTAAAGTTCTGACACTAAGCTTTTCGTCCGATCTTGTTCATTTAGTAGTTTATGTTACTTGTGAATAGTAAGTGTTGTGGTTCAAGGTACCCCACAGGCCTTAATGGAGGAATGAAGTTGGAGGTTAAAATTGTGAAAGTAAATTAAATGTGGTCTTCAGATCATTAAAAGAGTGAAGTCCATTTTCATCAAAAATATCTACTAAAGCATCAATAGAAAATAAATTGACAGCTATTGATAATCAATCAATAATTCACGTGATCTAAAGTTGTGACGATTTACTGCTTTTTGCTGTTTCATATCTAAAACAGTAAAAAAAAAAAAAAAAGACATTATTTTGGACTGTGATCAAAACTGTGATATATGTGACATTTGTCACTATTTTCTGTAATTATAGAGCAAATGGAAAATTATTGAATTATTGAGAAAATAATTTGCCAGGTCAGTTGAAAAAGAAAATCGTTAGTTGCAGCCCTACATGCCAATAAAGATTTTTGAAACTGAACATTTGAACTGAACACAACAGAACAGTCTTAAGGTGGTTTTAGGAGGATTTTCAGATTTAAACCTGGAAATCCTACATTCAGATACAATTAACGATTTAGTTTCTCCCTCAGTAAAAGCCTATGAGCCCCCACAGTCAGTCAGCATTCCACTGTCGACCAACTCCAAAAAGTGTCACCTGATAACATCTGATCATCAATCAACACTGAGTGCTGGTTAAAAGAGACAGACATAATTTTTATAGGCGTTAACTGTCCTACATTATTGTCGTACCATAATACAGTTTTAAAGTTTCCCTCAGATTCTCGTTACATATCATGTCATGGCCCTGGATTGTTTAACCTTTTGGTTGTTATAATATTAGCCATATCAGTTACATGTCTATAAATAACTCAGAAGCCCTTGGAGGTTTTGTAACACAGGGGGAAAAAATCAGCTAGCAATGGCTGTTATCATTTGTACGCCTGCACGGCAAACAAAATAAACTTTATTCATTCACTACTGAGAACTGTGGAAACAAAGAGGCTAGTAGCTGAATTAAATGCATTGTTCTGCTGAGAGTCGCTGTGGCCAGTAGGTACATCACAATACCTCCCCCTCCTCCTGTTTTCTCCCACCTCCCCCACACTCGCCCTCAGCCTCTCATCTCTCCTGTTCTAACAGCCCCTTCCACCCACTGAAAACGTGTGGATTCACAAGTGTAGGCACATTTGATTTTTTTTTTTTTGTCATATTTTCAAACGCCACTTCAAATCTACATTGAAATCTATCTTTTTGTCTCTTAGGTTTAATACCTAATAATCAGTGCTATAATACACAGCATGGTGACTTTGAAAGGATAATTAATTTCCATAATTTTCAACAAATAGCATCTGTGCCTCTGTATGTAAATGAGGCAATGAAAAAATTCACTGAGCAGATTTCCTCAGTGTATCCATTTTAATTTCTAATGAAAAATGTGTGAAGAGAGTGATAAATGAAGCCTCCATCACTCCACATGAAAGCCACTTAGTTACAGTATCCCATTTGTTCCCAACCAGAATAAATATCACACAAAACTGGATTAGTTTAACATGGATGTTTACTTTGGGGAAGCCTCATTTCTCCCACGCTGTGTGATAGTACTGCTGTGCTCAGTAGGTGGTGGGACTAACCGCTGTTATGATACATACAGAGATAGTCATGCTGAAGGACCCACTCTATAGATCTCACCTCCCCTACTGTCTTAGAGAAATGGAGCAGTCATGTCCAAATCCACTCATCTGTAACAAATGTTGTCTTTTACTTGTGCTGACATGGTCCATGGTGTGACAACATTTTGACGCGAAGATGCTGAATTCCCTCTGCTGCTTGGAGTACTTTATGAATTTCTGTCTTCATCTGTGTAAAAGTCAGTTATAAAACTAAGTCGAGACTGGCTGTTGTGATCAATTTGACTGATTCTGCAATCAGATCAAAACAACCTCTGGTTTAATTTTAAATATGAAATCCAGGCATTTGTTATCAGTACTTTTGCGTCATTGGGGCGAGGGAGGTTAATTTCAATCTGTTATCTATTTCATGTTTCTGATTGCCTGCCTAAAACTTTGATTATGTAATGCAATCAGTAGAACTACTTGAACTTAGTAATGCAATCTATTGAGACTTTGGAGTGGAATAGAGGGCTCAGAGCCTGAGAATGAATGAGTCAGGGCTCTTAACTGCATTGAATTGTCAGTTTTCACAGTCAAATGAAATCTGATTATTTGTTGCAGAATTAGTTTGAGCCCCACTAGACCTTCGTCATGGCCTCATGATCAATGTACAATATTACATGACACTTGTATCAACGGTGCTTCAGCCATCGTTAGTCATCAGAGGTGATCTCATATTAAGGTGAATAACACTAAATTAAATTAAATTCCAGGAGGATCTATTAACAAAAAATGTATAAGTGTATAATCACCTGAGCCTTTGATACATCTACAGACACCACAGCTCTTTATGGAGACTGCCATGTTGAACCGCCACGTTTCTAAAGTAGGCTATAATGGACAAACCAATCACTGGCTCTAGGTAGGGCTGTTTGCTTTTTTGGCGTGTTTTGCAGCCACCATAATTTCTCCTTGGCCCTTTGAAGGGTAGGGTGAAGCGAGGGAGTT